CAGCCCCAGCTTCCTTAGCCTGTCCCCATAGGAGAGTTGTCCCAGTCTCCTTATCTACTTCGTGGCCCACCACTGGACTTTAGCTACTTACTATGTGGGGTTCAATCTCTTCCTCCTTAGATTCCTCTTGCCTTGTTCAAAATTGCAAAGGAGAAAATTGTGCTTGAAAATTGGCTCATGTTGCATTACTGTGAAAAGCAGGCAGACTAACATCAACTTCTTATTTGGATGACTAAAAGATACAGTGTTCCACACCCTTAGTTAAGAGAAGTTTGTATCTTCCCTAGACAGGAAAGAAAATTTTCTTCCCCACTTTGTTTACCACAAGTAAGCCACCACATGGTCAGGAGTCCTCTGTGTGCTCCTGTGGCATATGGCCAGTGGGGGCAGGTGGGTGAAGTTTTGTTGTGGGCCATTGATCAAGAAAAGCTGACCATCAGCAGAAATAGCTCCCATCCCTGCAGCAGGAAAGGGAAGAAGAGCTTTCAGAGGATGTTGGCAGGGGAGTACTTGGGAAGGCCATGGAAGAAATTTCATGCTTTGAATGTCTGCAGGAAATAAGCTAACAATTGTTGGTGGTTTCCACTTGCAGACTGTATCTAGTGTTAGAAAGCACAGATGTACTTGTTCAAGACAAATGGAAACTCAGTGAGACACAGGCAGATTGATTCCCTCACAGAATGCTGCTGGCATGAAAGGATATGTCTTGATGTAGCAGAGCAGATGAGAAGGGAATGCTGCCTGGCAGTGTTACAGGTGTACCTTCGGTGTATCCTGCAGATAGGTACAAAGCTCATTCACCAGTTACAATAACCTCTGTAGGATTCCCTTGTAGAATTGCCTTGTTAGGCAATTAAATGCTCTATCACTGTGGCATAATTCTAAGTCATCTGTCATAGGTGTCATCTCAACAACCTAATGAAAAAAGTGAATCAAACTGCTTTAAAAGTCTCTTTGTTTCTAGGCTGATCCATAAAATTGCTTTCACTTGCTAAATCTAGCAAGTGACATAATAAAAACACTCTTGGGGCAGGTAGGTTGGGTGATGATGCAGTCTGATCTTGGTCCTCTCTCTCATCAGCCCTGTGCACAAGAAGCTCTGAGGGTCTGGCTTTGTCAGCAGCTGAGAGAGGCTCACTGTGGGCTGTTCTCTGATGAAATACCACCTAGTTTGTCAAAACAACAATAAAATGCTGGACATCTGGAGTTTGCTCAGCTTCCTATGGCAACGACGCTTGAAATTGTTTTATCAAGTTAGAGATGTTAGGTTCCTACAGGAAGTAGAATGCAGAGGGGATGGAGGGGAACTCTGGGTGCTGGTTACATCCTGAATATCCTGTTGCCGTAGTGTAAAACATGGCCAGTGTCATCAAATCATCAGAGGGTCCAGCTAGGAGATTCAAATCTGCAGGTAACTGATTTCTTTTTGATTTTGCTACTCATGAAGCCTGCTGCTTGTTCTTTGGAGATTCTTCAATTTTGTTTTACCTCTCTGGTTAATAAAATGGGCTAACCCAGATGCCTTTTGGTTCAGGTACCCCTTCATGGGATACTTCACAAGTCTGTTTGGAACCTTCTCTTCTTCCCCAAAGTCACAGAAGTCTGACCCTTGCTGGCTGACCCAATGCTGGAGTGCCACTGTTGTATTCTGCTGCTGCTGAAGCCCATGATGTGCAGGTAAAAGTGCCCACAGTTTTCTCCACAGCTGGATAAGGCCTGAAGGCAAAAGGACTACTTGATCCTGTTGTGAAGCACAACAGAAGGGCTGCCATGCATTAAGGCTTATCTTTGCTGTACTACATCAAGAAGCAGTGAACTGAAAGTAGCTTCAAAACAAACCAAGGAACAAACACTGTCTTGGCAGTCAGCATACTCCATTTGGTTTGCATTTTTAGTTCACTGTGGCTTCTTTTATGAGCAGTAGCTGAACTTAATGTGAAATAAATACCCTTGTGAAGACATCTTTTCCTTTGGATTTGTCATCTAATCCAAAATGTTGCAGTGTCACAGGAAAATAGATATTTTAAAACATTCATTCTATATACCACTTTCTTGAATTGTTTTGTAAAGTAATCTTCAAGGGACATTTGTGTGGTTGTTAATGGTATCCAGTGGAATGACTTTGCCAAAGCAAAGCAGGTACCCTCAGATTTTACAGAGTGAGTAATGCAGTATCACAGGCCCAGCTCAGGAGAGCCCAGAGCAGCCCCCAGAACTCAGCAGCAGCCCCCTGCCCTCTGCCCCCCCAGCTGGCTGCTGCTGTGCTGAGCACCTGCAAAGGAAGCAGGAAGCTGGAGCCTGCCAGCATTATTCTTTACTGACAAAACAAAAAGTAGCTGGCAAAAGTTGAAGGTTGCTTTGTGGTGTCTAATGCCTTCCTCAGCTTGCTCAAGGCAGAGTCTGGGACATGGAGACCGAGGTGATCAGAGGGTAAGTTAAGGTAAGAGGTCTAATGTCAGGTCTCACAGAAGGACACCAGGTTCACAGCCTCATGATCTTGGTTCTTTCAAGATCCTGGTACACAGGAAGAGGCAACAGACCTCTATTCCCTACAAATCCAGTTCCTCCTATTTCTCCAGTTTTACACACCTGGTCATTCTCCCAGAGTTGTCCCAACACTTAACCTTTTCCCATAATTTGTCTTTCTCTTCATTGCAACCCCAGGTTTTCTCTTCCCCAGCGTTTGATCTTGTAGACTCTGCCCATGGGAAACATTAACAGGTAGTTTCTTTTTGAATTATCTGACTTGTAACTCATATAAAACAGATATTTCATAGGGTATTTCCTTTAAGTAAAAGGAAGAGAGAGACAGACAGTTTCCTCCAACAGTTCTTTCTAATTTCAGCACTTTGAATTATTTCTGTCCATGAGAAGCATGAACGTTACATAAGCCGGATGGTGTTGCAGTTCAGTGACCACTCTGTGTCATTGTCAAATGGAAACTTCACAAGGCCACATTTTATTGACCCAAGAGACCTCCTCCAATATCTAAAGAGAGAATTAAGCTCTACATGCAAGTCCCTCAGAACTGCACAAGGTGTTTTGCTCTGGCTAGAATAAGTGTTGAGTAACTAAGAATATTTGGGATATAAATAAATTAATGATTTTCAGTTCTCATTTTCACAAAAGATGGGATCTTCACTCACTAGCACTAAAAAGTCCTGTTTTATGAAATGGAAAATGAATCTGAGAACTGCTGCCTGTATTCACAAGTGCCATTCCACCTAAGTACAGGATATGGTAGATTTCAAGCTCGTCTTGAGTACATGTATGTGATATAGACTTCCAAAAAAACCACTCTTTGCATTTGAAGGGCATGCCAGCTTCATTCTAGCAGTCAGCACTGTAATGTGATCTGCAGATGAAGTTGAAAACTTATTCATGAATACACAGATTACCTATTATGGTGACTTAACCTCTTGGAAGGTTAAGATGCTCTGCTTCAGGTGTGCCTCTGCAACAGCTGCTAAAATGTCAAAGATTTACAGATATTACCCATGAAATGCAATCCTTCAGTTGCTGGAACAGACACAGCTGAGGCCACAATAAAAATGGAAGAAGCAATGTAGAAAACAGGAGTGTGACAAGTCTCTGCATTACAGCAACAAACTGGATTATACTGACCAAAAAAAGATTAATGCATTTTAAAGATGTTTTCTCGTGCCTGCAGAATCTCTGAAAACTAGGTCACATGTTTTGGTGGCTAAAGTTAAGAATTCAAATACCATCAGTTGAAATAAATTAGACATGAAATTTTACCTTCTTATTCTAAACAAACCTAGCACGGACCTACTGTGTTAAGATCCCCTTCTCTGGCTGCATTTTCAAAACGAGTGCGGGCTGACTTGGGATTCTGTCCAAAATTGTTTCAATGTAGTTTAAAAATTCCCATCTGTATTTCTGGGATCCTGTCTGGGACAGGTGAGGATGAGTACAAGGTTGTGTGTGCACCTTCAGGACATATCCTGGTGGAATGCTTAAGGCAGCCAGATTTAACTTCTCATTGTGATATCCAAGACCATTGTGATGCTACAAATTAAAGCCTGAAACTTAATAGTACTGAGATAAAATCCTTTTACTATAAATTTTACTGCTGCTTTAAAAGAAGCTAAATACCTGAAATTATTTGAGGTCTGTTAATTTTTTATGAGTATTCGCAAAAGCATGGAAAAGGTAGCTATGCCAAAATTCAATTTAACCTTTGTTTCTTTTATTTGTCATTTACTACAGGTTTGCCACATAAAGAAAACTGATTTCTAGTCTGTGAAGAAAGGACAATAGAAGCTTTATAATGTCAGGGATATATTCCATCTGGAGCAGACAGAGATCTCCAGAGCAAGAGCAGGGAGTGTACAGAAGGAGGTCACTGAGTAGCCAAAATAGTTATCTGAGTTATTTACACTGAGAAAATTAAAATAAAATAGTCTGGTGCTACAATAATATTTCTTTTTAGCAAACTTTAAATAGCCACTAAGCATGTGATATGTTGACAAGAAAAATGTGATGCAGCCTTTGTAAATCTGTTTTGTTTACATTACTTGTTCTCTGCATGAATAGAGGATCATGATTTTGCTGCATTATGAGCATAACTTTGCCTATTAAAAATGAAGTATGTGCATCTAGGCTTGGATAAAAATAAGTGAGTGGGATGATTTTCTTGACTAGTGTCATCATAGATGGATATCCATGTCACAGGAACAGTTACATTCAGTTAAAGATTCTGGAAGTTTTGGTTAAAAGTCTTCCATTTTCTACCAAAAAGGGAAATTTGCAAACATTCTGCTTTGGCTTATTTTTTTTATTAGCAGCAATTCTAAATACTGTAACAATGCCACAAATAGAAGTGAAATAAAAAGAGAAAATTTTGCAAACATTCTGCTTTGGCTTTTTTTTTTTTTTATTAGTAGCAATTCTAAATACTGTAACAATGCCACAAATAGAAGTGAAATAAAAAGAGAAAATTATAATTTTTTAATGCTTTGGATATAATGAGTATAATGCTTTTGAGACCAATTTTTCAAGACTGCTCGGCTTCCCCAGATTGTGCGTGAATAAACAGCATTCAGTGCCTCCTGAGGAGGATAGGTCCCACAACATACAGTCTGGGAATAATGTAAAGCACCAGCACCTCCCAGAGGATGCTGACTGCTCCCAGCTCTGTAGCACCCCAGTCTGTTCTCCCAGGCAGTCATCTCATTTTAGGAGTGCAAATATTGATAGAGATGTGAGTTAGGGCGTGACATATCTTGCAAATGCTACGCAGGAAGATCTCAGCGAAGCCCTCTCACAGGTGCACTGCCTTCAACACACGGTCACACTGCCTTCAGTCTCAGCCAGGGAAGGATTTTCTGGTGAAACAGAGATCTTCCCACTCCAGGAACAAGGTGTAAGAGCTTCAGAAACCCATTCAGCTCATGTTGAATCAGGCGTATAAAGCAGACACTTCAATTTCTAAATAGAAAATGTTTAAAACCATTTGGTACTGAGAAATTTCAGAAGAACTTTTGATATTCCACCTTACTTGAGTTATAAGTTGTACCATTACTTTTGCAAGAGTATGAATATGTCACAGGCTAAATCCTCAATTTTTTAAGGAATTAGGTTAATTAAATTTCATTTAAAACTGGTGTGTGAGTAAGCATAAAATATTCCCAGTCCAGAACTAAAACTGATACATATTACTGCAGGAAACTTGTTTTATTTTCCTGGTAATGGATAGACTCAAAAAAGTGCAATTATTTAGAGTGCTACAATTCTACAGTATTAAAAAAAAAATCTTAAAATCTTCACCAGATTATCCATGCCAATAATCCAGAATTTTTTTCTTTTAAAATGCTCTATGATCGTCTTACTTGAGCTGACTGCTGGCACTGTACCACACACATGTCAACATATTCTCCCCTTTCATTTTTAACCAGATGGATCTAAATGAAAACAGAGGCATGATGAGATTAATGGAGTATTTATTACCTAACCCTGAACTGCAGGAAGCATATTCCATGGTGAGATAACAAATACTTCCTGTTAGAGGATGATACTTCTAAGAGTAAATCTAGTAACATTTAATCAAGTGCTCTAAGAGCTTTGAAAGCCAGCAAGCCCCAAATGGTCCAAAAGAGTTCAAAGGAATTTTTTCCTTCTTTAACATCAGAGAAAAAAATTCTTATAATTCAAACAAAACATGGGAACATTCCTATTCCTATAGCCACTGATTTAAATAGAAATGAGACAGGAAATCTGAAATATGAGGCGTTATATGCTGAGAGAATATGAGTTCACAAAAGCTGTCTCAAACTTGAAGTTAGGTAGAAGAATGAAAATATCTAAAGATAATTAATTAAATCACATGCTTGAGCTAAATTGAAAAAAACAATATAAGTTTATAAACAGGCCCAAAAACCATGACGTGTGGAATTGTAGAATTTCAGTACCTCCACTATGTGTCTTCAGTGCTGAGGCTCAGAATTTAAATTCCTAAACACTCATTCAGCTGTTGCCTATGTCAGGAATCATTAAACTCCTGTTTCATAGAGAATGTAGGTCTCTAAAGTGGAATTTAAATCAAGCACATGTACTTAAATCCAGCAATGCCAGTCAAAACAAGAGACCCCCACATTTCCACCAGTGCAGGAGATACAGAGGACAGTGAAACAATCCAATCAAAGGATATTAAGCTCAAAGCCTTGCCTTATAAAACACATTCTGTCCTTATGGACCAAAAAATATTTAAGTATTCCATTTTTAAGTGGAACAATTTTGAGTAGGGATTCCAAGCACTCCTTCAATGAGGAAAAATTCCCTTCTTCAGGAGTTTTGTCCTGTGAGTTCAAATCCTCTTCAGGGAAAGGGAGGATCAGAAACTCTTCTCCAAGATCTGAAATGAGAGGCCTGAGACATGAATTCAAACACTTGACATTTTGAAAAAGTATGATTTTTTTCCTTGATGCATTTCTAAGAGCATTCTGAAGTACATCCATTTCTTACTTTCAGGGAAAATTACTTTGTTAAGTAAACGTAAAGTTATGAGCATTTATCAGTGCCCAAAATCTACATATAGTCTTGGAAAAACCACTTGATTTTACAAAACAGAGTAAATGAAAGATAAGCATACTTCCTACAGAAACATTAAACCTGCTTTAAAATAAGAGCTCCAGCCTTCATTTCTTGTAAACTGAGAAATGCAGAATGAAATCTCATGTTAGTGCAGGTTAAGGGGAGGAGGAGCAGAGGACCCCAGAGAGTATATCTGCACGTCAAACAGATTGCATTAAGCCTTGGCAAATGCAAGGTAATGTGTGCAGGAGGGAGCAATGTGAGTTCTAAACTAACTTTACATCTTACCAAAAAGAAATCTTGACATTAACAGTGCAGTTCAGTGTGACAGTTATCAATGCAGTCTTAGAAACAAAAGAGATGCTGAGAGAAGAGTGTATTTCAACTTTTTTTATCTCTCACTGAGCTAGTCCCCTATAAGACTAATCTTGACTCACTAAGTGAAAGAGCACAAAGAACATGAATATGCAAAGACAGGCAGGAGAACAATTGGAAAACAAAGTTGGGAAGGACGTCTGTATAAGAAGACAACCAAAGGATTGTAATAATTGGAACCAGAGAAGAATAAAAATACTGTAGAGAGACAAGAAATAATGATACAAAGGAGGAAAGTTTCTGCCCACTTGTTCTCAGAAGTACAAGAAATAACATACAGTATTTTTTATAAATATAATCATTAAGGTTTTCCATTCCAATGTAATAAACCCCAAGTGCTTGTCATTGAATTTTCTTTGATTTGCAGCAGTCGTGAGGAACCCCAGCTGAATTCAAAATGTCTTTGTGCCTCATGTTGGAGCAGTCCTGTTTCTCTTGCATTATATAATACTATAGAGGATTGCAACAGAAAACTATTTTAGCCATGGAATACATAGTGAATCATCTTCATTTCTGTAAAGTAAATACCTATTCTTTCTTTTTCAAGTATGTTTCTTCATGGATAATGAGATCAGCAGACAGCAGCTACAAAACTGCTATTCAGGTTAGAGATTTGTGGGGAAAAAAAAAATTTCTTCTATTAGTGAATATAACAGAAGCAGTTCAAATTATAATGGAACAGGGTTGTTTCATAATAGTATTTATCACAGTAAGATATACATTTAAACAGTATTAGATATAAAAATCTTGACCTCTAATCTGTTTGTAACAGGCCACAAAGCTAAAGTGAGTTCCAAAGGATTCTGTCCTATCCAGGTTGTCTTTAAGACCTGTGATCATGTCACTGGTTAGAATCTCTGCATTTTCCTAGATCAAATTGAGCTTGGTCAATGAGAAAGTTAATTAACAGTAAAAGCAAAGATTAAAAATTATCTTTGGTAGGATATAAAAATATTAAATTGTTAAGAAATAATCTGTTTTGCAACTAACAATGCCATTTTCCATAAATTTATGTTAATCATCATTATATTTTCCTCCTTTAACTATGTATTTATCCACACTTTTATCAGCATCCCTGGTTTTGCTTAGACCAATGTCAGAAAAGTCTTCATTGCTCTACAGAACGTTCTACCTAATAAAATAATTAACAGATATTGCCTATACCTATAAACATTTGTTTCCTTACAATCTCAGACCACCACTACCAGTTACAGTGTGACTGTTACTAGATAACAGTCTGCAAAGTACACCATTATGTTTTAAGAATATAAAGCTGTAGGGTCAGAAATAAAAAAGGATCTTGTTTGAGGTGAGACACATAAGACTTGTATATAAAAAGCCTGAACAGAGTAAGAGATGTTCTAACATCTCACTGGGGCAGCTGTGAGAGGGAATTGATGGAGCTTCAGAATTGATGCAACACAATCTCATCTGCATTTCAGAGATGCAAGTTGCAACTTTAGAGCTGTTGCTCTGACAGAACAGAGTTGCTTCATTGCAATTTTTCACTGCAAAGAGAGAAAATACCCACAGAGATTCAAGCATTTTGAGCTAACCAAATTTCAGGCATTATTTTTTTCATGTAGTTGTTGCATTTGCTGTCTGGGTAAGCAGGTCCATACCTACTGAGCTTGTTTATGTCTCCTCCACAGATCATTAGGTCTTGTCACTTTTCCTGCACTGAGAAACAGGTCAGACTGCAAACCAAAGAAACAGTTCTTGCCTGCAGAACCAAGATGGAGCAATAGTATAACATTACTCTTCTTCCTAATTCCTTTTGCCTTTTGAAACCCTTGTATTTCTGAAAAGCAGCTCAGTCAACATCCATGCTTATAGTACAGGGAGAAGCCACATGCACTACAGTAAACCTGAATTGTCATGACTGATGTTTATGTCTAATCTGTCTAGCAGATGTGACAGGACAATTCGGCCTGAATTGTTTACTTTCAGCAGTCTGAGTCATATAAGGTGTCAATTTTACTGAAGTTAATAAAAAGATATGTAATTCTCTAACTGCAGATGCATATAATGAATCAGACTGAAGAAACAGGATTAGTTAAAAAACAACAAACAATAATTGCCCATATTAAAAAAAAATACTAACAATTTTAAATGTAATTCAGTCTTATTTTCCACATGCTAGTCAGATTATTTAAATTCATGAATAATGGATATATCTCTTCTGTGATGTCTTGTTGCTTTCTATAGTTTGAAAAGACAAACATTATGCAAATGTGGTATCTTAAAAAAGTCTCTTGTCAGATATTCATCATTTTAATTTTATGTTGCTAATATAATTGACAAGATACTTGATACTACTGATTATGGCTTTTCTTGTAAATCACTTATTTGATGGGCTTAAACAGCTGTGGGTTTGCATCTATGAGTTTGTGAAGTTGTAACCAGGCTACAAAGGAGCAATAGGCTAAGTCTTAGGCATACCATCCTACCAGCTGGTAAACAGCATTTCATAGCAGTAAAGGTGTAACTCAATCAACATTGTTACATTTCAAAAAGAAAAAAAGGGAGGTTACTATTATTCTCCTCTCCTCCTTCCCAAGTAGTCAAACCCATGTGAAATGAACAGAGATTTAATTTGCAAATCTGAATATAGATGTGCTTATTTTATATAGAATAACTTGAAGGATCTGCAAACATCTGTCACTATTAATCAATCTGCATCTCACCCTAGGACCCCTTCAGTCAATTCAGCTCTTTTCAAAATTTCTTATAGGTTCTATTATCTCTGATATAAAATTACACGGAAGGCTAATTCAAGCATAGCATCTTCAAGCTTAGACAAAAGAAAGTTAAAGTATGTGTTGTTCATCACTACATTACACCATTTCTGCAAGGGGAACCTTCCCAGATTCTACTGCAATAAAATTATTACAGCCTAGAGAAAAATTCTGGCCAAAGATTTTGTTTGGAAATGCTTACTACAAAGTTATTTGCCACTAGATTACTTCAAATTTTCAAGTACCACACCATATTAATTCTACATTATTACAGACACCAAGCGAAAAAATTATCTTCTCAAAAATATCAGTTTCAGTTTGACGAGACATTGGGGATCAAGCCAAAGTCCATTCAGCACCTGAGATAGAGAACTCAGAGACATCATGACAAACTGGAATCCAACTGACTGAAGAGCAACCCTGCTGAAAAGCTTCTGGAATCATCATGGTGGGTCTCAGGCTGTACACAAGCCATAAGAGTGCACTCATAGAAAGCAAAAATGCACACGTTGTGGGGAGTACGGACACCAAACTGCAGAAGTGGCATCTCCCTGGCCTTGGTGAGGCATGTGTGGAATAGTGGATCTAGCTTTGTTCCACCTGGCTTGTGCAAAAAATGAAGATAACTGGAGAAGGTACACGAGAGGGCTCATGAGGCAGAGGACACATGGGCTGGGAAGAGAGGTTGTGGGGAAAAGCCTTTTTTAGGCTGACAAGGAGGAGAGGAAGGCTGAGAGGAGCTGACTGCAGCCTACAGGAAATACCTGAAAGGGGTTACCAAAATGGTGGCATCAAAATTTCCTAAAAATGGCCTCACTTGTACATTAATACTGGACACTAAAAAATGCCAACACAGGTACATCAAAGCTATTTTGAATTTTGTCTGGGTTCCCAGACAAAATGACCCCTAATATCTACACAGCTGTCTGTTGACCTGAAAATACTGGCATGGGTTATTATGGCACAAAGCCTCACTCTCTTTTATATTTCATGACGGCAAAATGTGGAGGAAATTTCAGGAAAGGAATTGTATGAAACTGCTTATGTCATTCTGCTGTTTTCTCCTTCGGAACACCAAATTTTGATAAGCCTGTTTTAGGCTCATGAAAACAAAAACCTCCTCTTACCTGAATGTTAGTGCTTAGATAAACTAACACAAAACAATCTTCAGAGAAACAACAACCAGAAATGAATTTACATTTGCACTTCAATTAGTTTACATTTTTTTCCTCTGTTATTTCACCCTTTGACCTACACATGCAAATATACTCTGTATTTGGAAAAAAAATCTGCTTTGAACCTTTCCTCTGGTTATAGTACTTCTTCCTCATGCTTCTAACTAAAAGATGTTATTATTCTTTAACTGTTTTCATT